TTTTTTTTTTTTTTTTTTTTTTTTTTTTTACCAGTGGGGTGCTCTGGCTCCATGTGGCTGGGCACCGACTCTTCAGGAGGGCTACAGACCAGGGTGGCTGGGGGCAATAGCTTAGAACAGTGCAGTTTGCTGCACCCATTGGTTCTTTTCCAAGGCTCGTTATAGAACTGGGGTCCAGCTGGTCTACCCAAATACCTGCCATATCTACTGAGCAGATACCATCACCTACATCGTGTAGTCACGGCAGCAATGCTCACTGTATCTTCACCAGGGCATTCCATCAAGGAGCTACTGTTTTGCTTATCCAGAAGCAGCAACTACTCTTTTTTTTCTTTTGAGACAAGCAGAGACTGAGTCACTGAGTCAAGGCTCAGCTCTAATGTCACTTCTCTTGCATTTTCCACCTGGTTCCCAGCTGAGCACGTGAAGCTTGCCCACACTAGCAAGCACCAAGAATCTGACTCATTTCTGACGCCATCTCAGACAGAGTCAGATTTCACAGGCAAAGGGCTTGGTCTCCCAAGACTACCGGCCACCTCTGATGCTGGCCATGAGCTTACCTGTGCCTTTGACTGATAGGACATAAATTAGAGGTTCACTCTCTGGCTCAGTCAGTTTGCTACAGCAGCTCAAAGACTCAGCAAACCTGTGTCCTCACTCGATCACCAAGTGATTGCTCAGGATCAAGCTAAGGAACAGGCCGGTGGGGGAGGGGCATGGGCCGAAGAGCAGGACAAGGCGCAGAAGTGACTGCTGTCCCCAGCCTGCGAAGTCCTGCAGAAGACGGTACTCGGAGGTATTCACTGATTCCTTCTGAAGCACAGAAGGTTCTGAAAACTTCAACTGTACTTTTGTCTCTTTGTGGCTTTGATTTGCACTTCCTTGACCCTTGCTTATGGAGACCATCCTTTCATGAGTCCATTTCATCTGTGGGATAAAACATCTACTCAGGTCCAGTTATTTTTTGGATTACTGAGTTGTAGGGGTTCTTGAATTAACTGCTTGTCTGCTGTGATGTTCAGCATCTTCTCCCCTTCAGTCGGCTGGATGATTCCTGTTCTGTGCAGGAGCTTCTGAGCCTGGTGAACTCACGTGTCTACTTTGCCTGCTGGAGGCAAATCCACAAACATCTGCACATTGTGAAGATCAAGCTCAAGGTCTTAGCAACGGTTCTTCCAGGAGTTTTGTGGTGCCAGGACTATTTATTGCAGAGACTATCCTTCCTCATTGTATATTCTTGGCAACTTTGGCAACTTTGTCACTAGTGACGGTGTGGCTTTATTCCTGTGCTATGAATTCACCCATGTTTCTAATATTATAAAACTGATCTTCCAAAGTTATAAGATAGAAGTGCTTTCATATGCAATAAATGTACTGTGTTGAAAATTCAAACCTATGCTCATTTCAAAGCTCGTAAAGAGACAATGCCAAGTATTATTCTTCATGCTGAATGCTAATTCAATTGTCTTGTCAAATGTACAGCTTACCGAATTGACGTGGAGAATAATTTCTAATTTGAAGCCCTAAACTTAAGATCATAATATATCTTATCATAATATAGGGCCATTATATGGTAATGTAGATATGCTAGATTAGACTATAATGTAATTAGGCCTATTCATAAAGCACCATCTACTGGCCAGGTGAAATACTGCAACCAAACTCCATTAGCCATTCCACACCCAACTCTAACAGCGTCAAAAGTGGAATCAGTGAAGGCTGCCCAGAGATTCAGAAAGGCTGTAAGTTAGAGGAGCAAAACTATAATGGAGTTCTGGGCTGCCATCCCCAAGTACGTCCTTGGCAATAGGATTATTTCACGGATGAGACTCCCAAGGCTAAGAGGACCGTGTTCCTTCTTAAGAGTCATTTGCAGGTGTAAGGGACAATTTATCTTTTTAAGGGTCTCTCTCACTATTTGGGGAAAGCCTCATCTCCTTAACTCTTAAGTAAAAAGACAACTACATCTACATACAGATGATACCTTTGTTACTCTGCCTTTCCTGCTCACCCTGTAACTGACTGTCCCTTCCCCATCCCATCGTCCCTCCACCCCCCACCCCATTCATCTTTATCTTTCTGAAAATGAGGACTGAGGCCATGTGGCTGAGAGACTCAGTCTCTCTTGGTCTCTCGTTATGTGAAAACATTCCACTTGGTAAAATCTTAAATCTGATCAAATACCTCAAATTGCAACCTGAGACTTAGATCAAGAAAACCAGAATTCTGAACGAAGTTATTTGGAAAAAGTCTAGCCTACTGAAGTCTTTTTTTCTTTCTTTCTTGTCTCAGTCTAAGGTCCTGATTCAGAAACCGTAAAGGTCAGAGGAAGGTGAAAAGAGGAGTTTCCACGCTCACCAATACAGCACGTATGTTATTAAAATGGGGAGGACACAAGATAACACTGGTGTGGCCCCTATACAAGAATTATATGCAAATTCTTGAGGTGTTTTATATATAACAATTTCAGAGAAAACTGATCAGTTCAATATCACATTTTGTAACAAGAAAACAAAAGCCTGATGTGATAGCGAAGGCTGATGAGAAAGACACACCTATCCTGACTCTCCAAGCAGTATCTGCCCTGCCCCCTAACTTCTCCCTGCAATCAAATAACGATCTCATGTGCTGTAGGTTAAATCCCCAGCATACAGCTGCACCACTGGACTGAACATCTCATGAGTTTCTTTGGAATACATGTACAAATCACAAGGCAAAGCTCATTTCACAATCTACAACACAAGTGTCATCACTGTATCATCTCCAAATCTCTAGCGAAAATATCACATGTATCTCAATATTCTAAAATAATGCAGAAAGTAAAGAAATTTCAATCTTGTCAAAGTAAGAAAAAGAAATTTTTGCCATGAGGAACAAAAAAATCTAAATTCCATTTTAATCAAAATGTCTTTTACCTTGTTGTGAAAGTTGTTAGGGTTAATAACTGTTTCGGACTGGTCTTTCAGATGAAGAATGACATCCATTTTGTAATTACTATAAAATGCATATAATGTATTTTCTTCCAACATGCTCATTTGCTTCTGCTAACAGTCGGACCTATACATTAACTCTTTAACTTTAACTCTTTAACTCTTCAAAATAATGGAGTCTGGTTTTTCAAACTTCAATACTATTTGCCCATTTTAGTAACTGGACCCCTGAGTACAGCACAATATTAGCAGACACATGTAGATTCCTCCAATACATACTATTTCCTGAACAAACAGCAATGGATAAGCTACCCACCGAGGTGAGGTGATGCAGGGCTTTGCCCAGGGCAAACAGTTTGAATTCTGTACACAAGCAACAACCCCACATGTATTCTGCAAGAATTGACATTCTGCTCATCAGTCTTGTATTTCTTTTACCAATTAAATTAATGACAAAGCTCTGTCTGTGATATTAAAAAAATCAACTAGTGACCCTCCCTGGTGGTGCAGCGGGTTAAAGCACAGCACTAAGAAGCTAAAGCCACTTCCGCATGAGTTCGATTCCCACCTGCCCCGGAGGTGACCACATGGTGCGGCAGACCTCTCCTGACCCGCCCACTGCTCCCCTCAGAAGTGTACTTCGTCGATCTGCCTGTTCTGCTCCCCACTCTGTCCCTGGTGAATTCTCTCACCCTCTGCATCTCTGGCCTGTACCCCAGTTCTGTATGAATAAATAAGTAAATCTTTAAAAAAAAAAAAGAAGAAGAAAAATCAACTAGAAATGGAGACATCAGACACACCAGATGACTGGGTGATCTTGTACCTTAATCAGCGTTACTTGTTACCTTACTGACCTTTCTATGCTCCTGCAGGCTTGATGCTGAAGAACACTTTTTACTGCACACTGAACACATGAGCTTTCTCTTAGGATCTCCTAAAAGAGAACCGGTATTAAAAGGAGCGTCAGATATGGTGTTTCTTTGTGACATACACGTTCCAAATGGGTATTCTGCTTTTACCATTTAGAAAGTTAAAATTCGCAGGGGTTTGGATCTATTCATTAAATGCAGGTAAAGAGTAAGTTTTATTTCTTCTTACATTTGAGGTATCTTCAATGTGGCATACCGCTTTATCCACATATAAAATACTTTCACTTTTCCTCATTCTAATTTAGTATTAAAACAGTTTTATGGATAAACTGAACAAAAACTGAAAGCATTCAAATGTTTTGATAAAGCAAAAAAAAAAAAGGATTCACTAATCCATAGGTTGGTGTTATTACTTCCTTCCATTTTTAACCAAATGTGACTTGATCAGCTGGGATTTCAAAGTGTATTCTCTCCATCACTAGACACTTACAAAAGAGTAAACCAGTACATTAGATTAATATTCATACAACTCAAATAAAAGCCCAATTTTGTCTTCTTAATGTGGTTGTTAGATTTGTAGCAGCTCATTACATATTTGACTTTTCACAGTGGTTATAGAACATACACAATAATAACATTTACAAGTGTGATCTAGGAACAGTATCATCAGTTCAAGCACACATAATCGCCAATGAGGAAACAAATATACAAACAAAAAGAAGCAAATAGTATAATGCACTCCATGGCCTGTCCCCAAGACCACAATATACACCCACGCCTGCCCCCACTCTCCACCCATCCCCCACCCTCCACCCATCCAATCGCCCACCTCTGAAGCACATCCCAACTAAGAAACAGCTTAACAAAATGGATTTTACACTAGGACTGTGTTGAGGAACTTTCAGACAGAGCAAAAGTTTAAACTGTACTTAAAATTGTTATTTCACAAAATGCAATATTTCTAGCATATTAAATACAGTCATGAAAATGTCTCTTGGGTGTGACAGGTAATATGGCCAATAACAGTAAAACTGTCCCAAGCAAAATGAGTGTGTGGCACATATATGAGGGGTCCCTGAGAAACAACAGCCCTCTTCTCAAGCACTCGCTAGCTGGGTTTCCTTCCTTCACACCTGCTCCTTTCCTGCCCCATCTTTTCCCTCATACCAGCTGCTCACGGCAGCCAGACTCACTCCTGCCACATGGAAGTCAGGAAACGTAAAGAAGAGGGCTGAGGTCCTCAGAAAAATATGGGCACAGTCCAGGACTGTTTGTCTGAGAATGGAGATTCAAGTCCTCTCCTGAAAGCGTCCAGTCTAACAGAATCCACGGACTGTATGCAAGAGAGGAGGAGCGATTGGAGTGGTCAGGGAGGTCAGCTGAGGGCCTCTGTTTGCGCTTGGTCACGGAGCTACCTACCAGCTTCCCCCGGTTCAAGGGTAACAGTATCTACCACACCACAGCAGACTGGGCACTATTCTAGTTTTCCTATACGAAGGGACGTCTGCCTGGTCATCTCCGGGTGTTGCATGAGAAACTGATACAACTGTTCCAAAAACCCAGTCATGAAAGAACTGAGAGTCTAGCAGCACGTGGATGCAAAGGATTGCAGGAGCTGGTCTGAGAACCCACAACCACATGTGACAGCTTCAGGCAACCCGAGGTGCACATTTCAAAAATGCAGCTTCTCCCTTCTCAAAATTTCAATCTGCACCACCTGACAAGAAGCCCTCGTCATTGTCATCATCGTCACGGTTGCAGGAAGCACCTTCCCTGGCATGCCTCTGCCTCTCGAGGGGTGACTGTCCACAACCACATCTCAACACTGTTGTGCCTGCTGGCCTGAATAGGACATAGTCTTCTCCCACATATCTGTGCAGCTCAGAGGGGAAAAGGGAGAAGCAAGAGACAGACTGAACGAGAGGCAGATTGTTTACCAATAGACAAAGGTAAAAGATACAGTCATTGGCTGCAAGAAAATCGGTTTCACCTACGGCAGGATCCACAGCACAGAAAAATAAAGACCTTCCCTTTAGAAATGAGGTCCTACAAAATCACTCTGAGTTTCCAGAATCAGTATTATAATGTCCACAGTCAATTACAAGAAGCCTCAAAGAAAGGATGCTCCTGGCTTGAACACCACATGCCCACCAGCAACGAGAAGACGAGATTCCATGTGCATCTGGTTTTTTACTTAGTTCAGCAAAGTTAACTTTAAAACTGACATGAAAGATTTGTTATAATCCATTGCAGACAAAGAGGGAGAAAATTAAGTACAGCATTTTCAGCATAACAGCTTTGGGGGGGAACGGGTGAAGATGATGAAGTCAGATCTCTCAAAAATTGAAGCTGGCTTTTTACTAACAATATAGCATTTTTTCTCAAATGCTACATATATGCTTCCCAAGGGATAAAGAAGGTTATAGAACCAGCAGGGTGCTGGAGACAGCCGGTCCTGAAGCTGCCCTTCTCAGGCCACACTTCCCCCACCCGGAGCTTTCACAGACATCCTGCCCATGACGTATAGAGTCCAGACTGGAGCAGCAGGCCCTGCCTCTCAGCCTCTAACTTTACCATTCAAGGAGACATTCGGACAATGAGCAAACACAGGATACAAAAGCTGAGGAGAATTAGCCTTTTCTCCTCTGCAGCGTAAGAATAAACAAACAGGAGGAAAGAACTCCACTTTGCACATGTCCAGAGACATTTCCACCAACTCCCACAAGGACCAACATCAACATATGAGGGAAAAACCGCACAAAGATCGGGAGTTCCAGGAACGGCAGCCTTCCTCAAGGAACAAGACGCCAGCGTCAACTCTGACAACACAACCATCTGTTCGATTCAGTGCGATTGCTTCAAGCCCTGAAGCCTCAACACATTTGCCATGTGTTCTGCAGATGAAATCCAAGAGACAAGTCAAGTGGTTCTTCTCTTGTTTAGCTAGTCATTAGAAGGAGTTCAAACCGTATCTGCTTTATGAAGCCAAACATATTCCACCCCACAGAAATGCCGTCTGTTCTTTTCCCTAAGAGGGAAAAGAGACACATTTTAAAAATGGAACTCCAATGTAAAAAATACAAAGGCAGAAAGATATCCTCAAATAATGTGCAGATCTACCTACCCAGATATACTCAAATAATTACTGGAGAAATCCTAACTCTCTAGCCCACCAACCACCTAGCACAAATCGATTCTAGTTGAGATTTCCCATTCTGATGACTGCAGACGTGGAAAAAAGGCAAAAGCCTTTTTTTTTTTTCTTGAAAAAAGAAAAGTGCTCAGGTCAAGACAAAGGGCCAAGGCCCCAGCTCCAGACCTGTGTCAGTACAATGGGAATATCAGCCCTCTCCTTGAGAGCAAGAATTGCAGCCAGATCATGGAGCCTGTAATGACCCGTCAATGACTTCTCACCTGCATGGACGTTTTCCTGGTGTCGTCTCAGGGCATCCTTGCTCTTCAGCCTCTTCCCACAGCTGTCAGCCTTGCACACAAACCTGGCATCTCCCCGGCACGTCTCCTGATGCAGCTCAAAACTGCAAGACATCAGGGAAGAGGACAGGGAAAAGACACGGTGAAGACCACCTACAAACTAGCATCACGCGAGCTTCTGAGGGACGTGCTCCCTAGCAGAGGTCAGGATCACTGCATGCATTTCCTTGGTAGACCAGAAGGGAAGCGCTTAAGTTCCGTGGGACATGTTCCCTGGCAGAGGTCAGAGTCACTGCATGCATTTCCCTGGTAGATCAGAAGGGAAGCACTTAAGTTCTAGAGCTGGGGGCTACTCAATCTCTAAGAAGCATGAAAACACATGCAAAATGACCCGCGCTTATGTGACATCGGATAACTGAGACACAAAACCTTGAGGCTGCACTGAAGGAAGAAGTGCAAACAGAACACTGAAAACTCCGTGAGGTATCCTTCCCTCGGCTTTTTGCTGTACACTGAAGAACACTGGAGGAAAAATAGAGAAAACAAAAAACTGGAGGTCTAAAACAAAAAAAAAAAAATTATAAAACTATCTCTACTTTGATTAAAAGTCATCCTATCTTTTTTGCCCTTTTAAATTTTCAGTAGCACCCAATTTAACTATATGAACTAGCTCAGATGTATCTTATATATAAAATAAACAATATTACATAAAAGCTGGCCTGAAAACAGCTTTAAAGACCACTCATGAGAAGTTATATAGCCCCTTCTTGTTTTTCAAAAGCCTATAATATAGAATTCCCAATTGGGGCCCTCCCTGGTGGTACAGCGGATTAGAGAACAGCACTAAAAAGCTAAAGCCACTTCAGCATGAGTTCGATCCCCGCCTCCCTGGGAGATGATCCACATGGCGTAGCAGACTTCTCCTGACCCGCCTGCTGCTCCCCTCAGCAATGTACTTCATCAGTCGGCCTGTTCTGCTCCCTACTCTCTCTGGTGAATCTCTCACCGTTCTGAGCCTCTGGCCTGTACCCCAGTTCTAAGTATGCATAAATAAATAAATCTTTAAAAAAAATTCCCAAATGTGTAATCTTTCCTACTATAAGAGGTGTGAGGAGATATTCATTGTTCATCTCAAATTTCATACACAAAGGTAGATGCATAATATGTAGATGTTCTAAAATTTAGCCTGTTTCAGATTTTGACTTTAATGAATAAAGAAATAAAGCCTTAAACCTATGTTAATTGTTGCTTATATGCAAGGTTATATTCTGTTAAAGGTGAAAGTATATAAAAATATATATCTACTTTCTCACTTCTAAGATGTATTCTACTGTAAAATACATAAGCGAAAGGGCAATTTTACATGCTGTTGAATCAATTAAACTAACAAATGTGCACAGCAATGAGTGGGATCCTTTAATTCATCTTATATCTTAAAGCTATTCACCTTCAGATTATTTCTCTAAAGTGTCTGTGAAATAAACATTCAAATAGGTGAGATGCTATTTAATGGCAAGGTTTTAAATATGGTTTTTAGCATAAATAATCGGTACCAGCTATACTTCATAATTAGAATGTTTCAAAAAAAAAAGTCAACACACTAATAAAAGGTGAGTAATCAGAATGGCAATGATTATGTGGAATGCATCATCTCTCCTTTATCTCCATCACACACACAACACACACCCAGATATACACACCCCCAAATACACACATACCAAATACACACACACACACACCCAAATACAAACACACTCCCCCAAATACAAACACACCCACCATAACAAACAGCTTAAAAGCTGTATGACAAACCAGATGGAATCATTTTAACAAAGTATTAGCTTACAAGGTGTTCTTTTTGTACGTACTGTCTCTGCAAAGCCTGCTTTACTGGGAATTTCTTCCCACAGCTCTTGCACTTAAATTCTTTCTCCTCTGTGGGTTTCTGGTGCAGTGTCTGAAGATGCTCAGAAAGAATTTCCTCACTGGTAAAACTCGACTCACACTGAGGACAGGTGTAGTCTTCTCTGCAGCCAAAACAATCTGTACATGCATAAGGAAACAGTTTTAAGATGAAAATTTAGATACAAGGACTCAGTTTTGCCCGTGTTTCAAGATCAATTGATAACTGAGTTTGATGGTATCAAATCAGTAATCCTGAACCTCTCTGAATAGTAGTAGAGCTGTCCATGTTGTTGGTGAGAAATACAGTATTGTTGAAGTCATTTCACTTGTTTCACCAAATTAATATGAAAGGAAATCTACTTTGAATTGACCTCAAAAGGTAACTTATCACATCAAAGAGTTATGACAAATGTTCAACTGGAAATTAAAAGTTGCCTGTGAAAGGGTCATCTGGAGTTCACTTTTAGCCCCACAGAGAAATCCCAGTAAGGTGAGCTACATGGAATTAGCACAGAAAATCTCACATATGCAACACAGAAAAAGTCATCAGAATAGCCTCTACAGTAGACACAGCGAGGTTCCTCAGACAGGACTCCACCCCAATTTGACAAAATGTGCTATTTCAATTATGTGTGTTTTTTGATTATCAAGTAAGACTTAGAAAATGTGAAGTTTAATCACCTATTCCCAGGTCTGACTTGTCTGTAGTGAATTCATTTTTTATGCAAAAAGAAAAGAGAAATAGCTATATTTATTATTGTATTATTGTATATATATTATTTTCGTTTGCTGCTCTTTTTCCCAGTTGACCTTTTACCAAATCAAATGTATTTTTAAAAAAATTAAAGTACTATAACTTATGTGCCCAAAATATCCCATTAGATATCTAGGTGACTCTGGTTTCTTTTGTCGGTCATTTCAGGTTATTTGACTTATTTACTGTTAGAAAGAAAACTCAGGATTCAAAAACTTAAAGTCAGCAAAGTAATTGAGTGACATCTTTTTCAAAACACTTGTTAAGTTCCTGATGATGCTGTTTTTAAAAAAATTGGATTTTTTTTTTCTTAAACTAATGAAAAACCAAGGTGGTAGCAGATAAACAGTGAGAGAGACTCAGCAACATCGTGTCCTGGGGGTAGTGGAGGAGAAAAAAAAAAAAATAGAAAAATACAAAAAATTTTAAAAAAATTAAAAACCCTGTTTCTAAAATCTGACATTCCAAAAGGCAGAATGCTTATTTAAAAAACACAACAGCCAGCCTGTCCTCATGTTCTTAAATAATACAACTAAAAATCAACAAAAGCGTAAGCCAAAAATGCTAAAAACACACTTATTCAGGGGCACACAGACAGACGGGAAAACACAAGGCGTGACTTCAACAGCTAGTCGGAGCAGACGTTGTCCTGAGGGTCTCTACCAAGCAATGGCTAAGCACTCAACGGTAATGACACTACAAACTGAGTACCTGTCCCATCAGGCAGGTTTCCCTTGAACGCCATCAGGATTCTAACATGAGAAACAGGACACAGTAAGAACAGGTTATTCCCCAGCAGCTGACCAGTAAGTGTTATCTACCTCCTGGGATAGAGGATTAGCTGAAGGTCATCACACTTTTGGGGGACCCCCGCGAAGATGACCTAGCCATGCTGCAGGCCCCAGCAGTTCCAATTCTCAAGGGACCTCCAGAGGAGGAAGGCCCAGGAACAATCACACAGAAGGCAGCACAGCCTTTTCTTCCTGCCTCTCACCACATGCCCATGAGAAAGTCAAGTCAGAGAGGCAGTGATGTGCCCTAGAACCAGGTTGACTAGTGAAAGGGCCAGGGCCAGATGCCAAAACTCCTGCCAGCCAGCGACCTTGCTGCATCAAAGAGCCTTTACAGCCAGGAGCCACCTCTGACCTTCACTGACCTCCAGGAGCAAGGCCATCTGCTGGAAGGGCAGGACCATCGTACTAGAATGCAACTGAAATTCAATCCCTGTCCAGACAGTATCACCCTGTAACCGTCATTCTCCCAAATCACCTGAGAGGGCCAATACCTTTTCTACCAGCTGTGCAGTGTCCTTTAGAAGGTCTCACTTCGCCTTCTTGGATCACGGTCATGATTTGCTGCTCTTCTTCCTCGGTCTCCATGTCACTGTCCAGGTAACCAATCAGAAGCTCTGTGTCTGTTTCTATATCTTCAATCGCCAAATAGAAAATGTTTTCTCCTTCCTGAGAAAAAATGTTTGGAATAAAAACGGCTGCTGTTGGTCAAATGCATCTCAGTAATTCCTGCAAAACACGGAGTCAAATATGTGTTTCTGACAGCAATTAGGAATTCACCCTCAGTACCATTGTTTTTACTCCAGGTCTACAGCTCATCTGGACACCAGAAAGAGAAGCTAATAATATTCAGTTTCCTACAAAATAGAACGCAAATGCACACTTTACAGTGACAGTGACTTTTAAGGGTCATCATTTAAATGTCAAAAATGAATATTGCAGAATTCACTGGCAGGATGTTGCTAACACCTTGTAAAGGCCTGTCAACGTACAGCAAGTTCCAGTAATATGACATCATTTGCACACTCACAGAGTGCAATGGGATATTAATGACTTCATTATGATGAATGATTCACTATGACTCACGTGAAATGCAAAACAATGAAAACAATGTCACTTTACAACACACACCTCAGGAGCCACAAACCAACCATGCAAGAATTTCCACAGAGCTGAACCAGAAATCGAATTTTTGAGTTACAGCACAAGGCACCTAGGAGTTCCAAAGTACTGAGGGCATGTCAGGGCCACTAAATGGCCAGGGAACAGACAGGTCCCCCATCAACACGCCAACATTTTTCAAGGAAATTCTGGAAGACAAATCAGAAAGCGCACAAATGACTGATAACAAACGCAGAGCCGCAAGCCAGAACAGACGCAGAAGGGCAGGTCCTGCGAAGAGCCTGCTTCCCAAGGAAACCCCACAGAGACTTCACAGTAGGAATCCAGATGCACAAAAGCCCCTTTGGGCCTGAGGCCAATCACCAGGGAAGCCAGACCCGGGTCCAGCTGCCCCCAGGAGCAACACCAGCAATGCTGTCTTTTACGGAGTTTGTTCTAAGAGGACTCCCAGCGAGCTGCCTGGAGTCAAAGGAAGCAAAGCGTAGCCTGAATTTATTGGACCTTTGCGGTAGGCCAGGAGAGGAAAGGAAAAGGACAATGACCTCCACCAAGAGTCGAATTCAATCAAGTTCAAAAGGCAGAACAAAGCCTGTTCTCCCCGGGGAATATCACAGCACTATGTTCAGGAGGAGGGACGGAGTGGGGGGCGAAGGGAAAGGGAAGAGAGATGTATAATGAGCGATGTGAGGGATGTATGTGTGTACACACCAGCAGGGACCCCCACCCCCGAGAAATTGGGTGGCGGGGAAAGAACCAAACTTAAAGAGTTATTTTCAGGATGGCAAAGAGGCTAGCCTCTATTTCAACCTTGTTTTCATGTAGTTTTTCTTTTAGAAAGATGACTTTGTAATTATGAAAACAGTATCTATTAGAACATTCCATGGGAGAGGAAGGATGGGTATTTTCAGCAAAAACTGTAAGAGAGGACCAAAGTAGAAAGACGAAAGCAATGAAGCAAATCCAACAGCTAGTTACAGTTCATTAAAGGAAGTTCCCCTATCATTTAGAGCATTCTTGGAAGTTTTTGAATTTCATAACTCCAGAAACATAAAAGGTGGCACCACCATTGCAAACACTGTGTTGGCTTTGATGCAGCGGTGATGTGTAGGCAACCAACCAACAAACAAAAGAGCCACAGACTCAGGGAAAGAGAGGTCTCCTCTTAAATTAACTGAGAAGCTGCACTCTGCAGGCTTTGGAAAGCACTTGCTAAGGCAGCTAGCCCAGGCCACCTCGGCTTCACCTAATGAACACCGCAGAACACGGTCATAAATCTCAGTGCTTATCTGATCAATATCCAAGGAAGTTCACTGAACGTCTTTCTAGCACATTAATCATCAATTTTGTGAGGGCCTTCATCGTCCTCAGGGCAGATAATAACTTCATTTGCAAACATGGTAGCATTAACCTCTACTGTACCCCTAAGGCACAGCCTGCCTGCTCCTAGCTCCTAGGCCCTGTGATAAAAGATCATCACATACCAGCGAGCAGGCTTCCAACATCTAAAAGCAGTGGGGTTTCTGAGACATCAGCAGGACCAGCTCACTTCTGCCCAGACACAGCCGATTCCATGGGGAAAGGGGTCAGCCCCTACCCTCAAAACTCTGCCCCCCTCAGGTGTCAGTGTGCTGGCCAACGGCTACTGATTTGGGGTCCCCACTAGCCCATCCTCAGACTTTGGGTGACAGTCTAAGCCAAGGTTACCACCTGGGCTGGTGGCCAACCAGCTCCAGTTCATCTGCTAGAGAGGCTCAGAGAATCTGTCTACTTACCAGACGACCAAGTTACCAAGGACAGGAGTCGGCCAGACAGAGAGAAGCATAGAGCCAAGGGAAGAGGAAAGGCATGGAATTGCACACCTCTCCAGAAGAGGGCTCTCCCCAAACCACCATGCAGACCCCAGTCTTGCAGCTATCTGAGCCTCACCTGATGGGGTTTTATGGAGCATCAGTTACACAGGCACAACTCATGAGCTCAATGACCACCAACATTGGACTCAGCCACGCGCTCCTCTCTCCTCCTGGAAATCAAGGGGAGGACTCGAAGTCCCGCCCTCCCTGCTCGCTGGTTTCCCTGGCAACCAGCCCCACCCTCAGGTGTTTCCCAAAAGTAATCATCACTAAGATAATAAGAGAGCACTGTGGAAATTCTCAGGCTTGGGAAGCCATGAGCCAGGGACTGTGGATGAAGACCAAATACAGATGAGCAATAAACTTTGAACATATTGACCAGCAAAGTATCTTTCTTAGAAAACACATCACAGCCAGTGTAAGGAAAGTAACGGCAGCATTATAGGCCGAAGGATGTATTTTCTGTCTGTGTGCTAGAAATGAGCAAACAGAAAACCACTGAGTTATTACCTGGAAGAATCAGACCCCATTTGTCATTACCCTCTCTCTGATCCTCTACTCTGGCTTTGGGCAACTGTTTTAATACAGAATCCTGAAATGCGCGTTTCTGGTTGTGAGGTTGCACTTATTCCCTTGAACAGTTTCTCCATAACATAATCACTCCTTGTATTTCAATTTTATGGAGATTCACCTATTTTGAGACTAACCCTGTTTACGCTACCGGACTTATGTTTATCCATCTGGTTGATGCTGGCACTTGCTGCAGGTGATTCTGCTGAACACCTTGAGCTAAAAACCTGCTCACCATCAAGGTCTCAATCAGAGCAAATACCTTTAGGCGCTGGTGGCCCTATTTCCTGACAGGGGTACAGCACAGAGTGTTGTGATGGTTCCTCATTGCCTGCATTTTACAACATCTGAATAGTTCACATTTGTTTAGTTATTTCACTTAATTTCATTGGCATGCCATTTTTGGCAAATTATTTCTCCTTTAAGATGGTTGTAACACCAAAAACCTTGAAGAGCCTAAATGTTGAACAGTATAAATTGGGGGGGGGGGATTAATTATCTACCGGATAATTAATTATCTAACCGGATTTAAAACATTTATTAAATAAACTCTTTTATCTAATATTTATAGAAATAGTGAATGTCATTTTAGAGGAAAAAAAACCTCTATATAAAAGGCTTTTCATATATGTAGACTACATAGATATTTAGTCACTACTCCAAAAGCTAAAGTTATCCATAGAGACACTAGTCACATTTGTTTCTAAGTGTGTGTGTTGGGGTGGGATTATCGGTATTTTGCATCATCTTCTGCTCGTCTATACATGAGACTATTTATGAGTCGATACATTAGAAAATTCCCTAGGTTATGTATTACGTTGTAGGAGAACAGAACAATGAACAAGCCTGGTTCCCTAACACCAGGAGGCAGTCCGCCTGGCCAGGAAGCATGAGCTCTGGGCTGCCGAGGGCTCAAAGACTTTTTATGGTTCATCAGATGTAAAACTGCACAAACAGCTTCATCTCGCAAACCACCAGTTTCCTCCTGTATCAAATGGAGGAGATCATTGTGCCTATTCATAGGCCCCTTGGAAGGATGACAGGTGGGAATGTAAAACAGCAAGTAGATGACGCTATTATTACTACCACCATCATAATGAAACTTTTGAAAGCCGGTGGTTAAACGTATTCATTCCTTTCAAAAATTTTCAAAATCTATCCCATAAATGAGGCTGTGTAGAGTAAGTGAAGATTACTCCGGCTTTAATCCGGTGGCCCCTGGGGCAGAGAGCAAAAGAGTGGCCACAAGAGGAAGAGACCGTGAGAGAATGCCACACAGCCCAGAGAGTAAGGATTCGCCTTTCAGCCTTCCGGACCGGGTCCCCACGCCCGGCCAGCCCCTGCTCGCTTTGCTGTAAATGGTGTAGCAAGATCATCGGAAGCCTGAAAACGCCACCGAGAGCTCCAGACTCTGGACCCCTCTGCGGGGATCTCGGGCAAAGGATCTCAGCCCTGTGCCTGGCTGGCCTTGCAGGTTGCTTCAACAGTGCTGTTTTTGACTAAATTTCATTTGGCCGAATCTCAGTACAATGAGATTCCACCCTACCGCCTGCCTCTGCAGAATCTGGAATGTTCTGCCAGGGATTCTACACTCTGCTCACCTCCAACTGGCTGATGTGCCCCTGGCTGGGAGACCAAGCACTCTATCAACTGTACCTAAATGCCTTGCTAGCCTGAGGGGCTTCCAAGGACATGGGGCTTGGTGCTTATACCGCAGATTCCTGAGAGAACCAAACAGCTGGTCACCCTCAATACACACGTCCAGAAGCTCATTCTAACTCCAGTCTAGACGGCACAGGCTGGTTCACCTCATCCCCAGCCAAGCTCAGGATTCTCAACATTCAGAACCAGTCACAGCTCCAAACACAGCTCCTACCAAACGGACCCCCATCATCTGAACCATTTTATCTTCTGGTCGCCAACACACTGCCAGTGAACCTGCCTGTGTTGTTCAGCACATCATACACAGTGCTGTAAAGCAATGTTACCTCAATAAAAAATTGAGGGCCCTCCCTGGTGGTGCAAAGGGTTGAAGCACAGCATTATGAAGCTATCTGCAGCCTCTGCAGCCACTGCAGCACCAGTTCGATCCCCAGCCAAGGAGCTGACCCACATGGTGCAGCAGAC